ATAAATTACACTCCCCTTTTTGCCTGTAATTGATTTCTACATATCTATATGCCTGGTACATATCTGTATGCCTGGATATGGTAAATGGAAGCTTTGCTGTGTTTTCAGGTTTATAAATTGTGACACACATCAGTAAAGTGATGCAATATATTAGTGATGCAATTAGTAATAAATTTATATCCATTTGTACTTTTTTGTGTCCAGCACTTAACAGATACTAAGCAAGCCTTGGAACGCATTGCTTCCTGGAGATTCCCATCTCCTATTATCATTAATGCAGGCATAAAACTGTAGAATTTATGACTTGGTTTCCACCTCACCTTTCATTATGGGGGGGGAAGGGGAGCGTGCAATGGTGGCTCCAAGATGCAGTGGTTCCATCAGAAAAGCCCCCTTAGAAAGCTCCTACCACCACTAGGGCCAAAACAAGTGCTTGTGGAGCTACATTGCAAATCAGAGTGCTGAAATGAGATTTGCTTTTAAAAATTTTATCTGTGAGGACGTATGTGAGCTATTCCCTTAACAGATGAAATATGTTCTTTAAAAAAGAACAGAATTGCACTAAAGAAGTACAGCCTTAAAAACTTGGTGGACTATTGAAATTACAAACCTGTGCAGAATCTAGGAATCTGAAGAGTAGGAAAAGCTAAAGTGATTTATTTAAGTTGAAGGGGAAAGATGTGAATTTCTTTTTGTTTGTTTATAAAGAGTACATTTTATAAAGAATGGCCCTTCTTATGGATTAATAAGCATCAGAAAGTTGTTCTTTCAGTTTGAACATTAGCACTTTCTCTTCACTAAATGTTAGAAAATACAGCCTTAAGGAATTATGTAATATTTAAGGCTTATAATGTTATAAAACTGTAGCATAAAATTTTTTACAGTGCTTGAGAATTAAGTTTTTTCGGATAGGCATCTCTTAGGTTTTCACTGAGCATTACAAAACAGGCAACTGGTACCAGGTCTTTTTTTTTTTTCTCCTCTCTCCCCTTCCCTTAAGTGTTCTCTCCATTTTTCTCCCTCAGTTATTTATGCCGCTGTTACTACATTTAAGGGAAATAGTGTTTATTGGTAACAGTTTGGTTCAAAAATGAGTTATATACATTTCTGAGTTTAAAGGTAGTTTATTTTAGATTGAGTAGGTCATTGAATCACGGAAAATGTAAAGTCTTGGTGTCCTACTGCAAATCTATAGGATGATACCGAATAATAGTGGCAGAAAATTTGGCCTTTGTTCCAGCACTGCAAGATTCCTGCTATTGTTGAAAGTTCAGTTTGTTCCTTCGTTGTCTGGTGTTTGGGCTAGTGATATATTCTCAGGCAGGAGAGTATGTTATTCACAGTGGAAATGCATTGCTTGTCATTGAGACCTGATGTACAGTCTTTTGTATTCAAATTGGTTGCTTTTTAAATGTTTTCCCTTTTTGCTTGAAGGTTATTAATGTTACCAAGTTATTGCTACACTAAATAGAAGTGTGAACGTTGCCAGAGTCATAACGGTGAGGCAAAATTCTTTTGTGGTGGCTGTCTAGTTCTTAAAAACAAAACGTATGCTAGAGATTAAATAAAGGCTAGGGGTTCTCTCATAACGTCATTACAATTTCTGAATTTTAACAGTCCCACCCCCACATTATCTTAGTTTAGTTTCCATGTTAGTCTTTTATTTAACACGTTTTGTGTATACATAGGTAACAGAGCACTGAATTCAAGGAATATACTAGAGCATTAGCTACAACTTAATTAAAAGTATACCAGTAAATGACAACTTCATTAAAAGTATACCAGTAGATGAAGTTACTAATACATATAAAGATTTGCTTTTCTCATTCTGTTGCAATACCAATTGGAGAATAATGTCTAGTTTCTTGCTGTTTTACTAGATATTGCTCTGGAGGGCTTTTTCCTCCCCTTGATCACCCCAAGCATCCTCTCCCTTCACCCAGACAAGTTCTAGCCCAGATCACACAAGGTGGTGTTGACTAGATTATGCTTAATGGAATTAAGAGGAGTGAATCTGTCTGTCTGTCTCTTGTCTCTCTCTCAGTCTTTTTTCTTCTCCCCTCCCCTTCAGTTTATAAGAACAGTAGAAATAGTAAATAATACTTCTGATTATGTCTTAGAACTGCTTTACAAAACGTACATGCAAACAGGCATACACACACTGTTTCTTTCCTTGAGCATGGAGGGCTAGTTAAAAAAGAAAATTGCAGAAAACTAAGGATAGTATTTTAGACAGCTCCTTATGTGTTTGGGAACATGTGTTCCAGTGACGATCTAGCTGCAAGTTTCTCAGACTTCAGTTCATACAGCAGTAGGTACTCAAAGTACTTAAGGCTTCCAGCAAAAAACGGAAAGTTAGTCTCTCTCTCTGTTGGGAGGCAGGGGGTGTTTGAGAGGGAAGAGCTGGTAGAGACAAGTTTGGGCAAAGGGAACGGCTGGGTGTTTGTCACATGTGCTGTCACAGGCTGCTATCCTGTGATGCTATTGTACAGGAGTGCATGTTGCATCTGTAATATACCTAATTCTGCTCTGTTCTAAGTCACCATTGTGCAACTTAAGCACTGTAAAGAAGCCATCAGGATCCAAGGGTGCAAATAGCAATAGATAGTTCTCTGCAAGTTGCAGACTTGCTGTGGTTATTCTGATCCATAGTGACTGCTTGGTGCTAACCCATTTTACCTTGCAGCTGGGGTAGGTGAACTGTACTTTTACAGCCCCTCAACTTTCCTGGGGTGCTAGTAACTTTTTTTTAAGTAAAAATGCTAATATGCCCTTTTCACTAGTGCAAACGAAAATTAGGTCCATTGCCTTTCCAGCATCTATGGGGTTGCTTTTTTTTTTTTTTTTTAATGACCAACAAAATATTGAATAACCAAATCTAAGAGGTTGAGAGAGAAGCGTTAGTAGTAGAAACCCAGAATAAGAAATAAAACTTGTTCTGCTTGGGGAGTGAAATTAGGAAATCTTCCTTCATGTATGAAACAAATGTGATAATCATCTTCACTGATGTAAATGGGCATATGCAAAACTTATTCACCTGCTTTCTGTGTGTATTTAAATGGTAAGTCAGATGTCACTAGATGGGATTTATTTTACTTTTTTCCAGTTTTTATCATTTTTGTGCTGCTTTTGGTAAAAATTGGTTTAAAAAAAAAGGAGGGGTAAGCTTTGTTTCTTACATACTGTGTGAGATGACATATCTAATGCATTCTTTTATTTTAAGACTTACAAGTGCAATATTTTGATTCTACAGCATTCCACGCAACTCCTAACACTTACAAACGAAAGAATACAGAAACAGCACTAGATAATAAACCTTGTGGACCTCACTGTTATCAACATCTGGTAAGAAAATTTCAAATGGATTGTTAGAATTCACTGAAGCAGTGTTACCTTATAGAATAGCAAAGTATACCTGGTGTTAGGACATGCTGCATCTTGGAATGTGAAGAACATAGATGTGAGCCACTTGCAAAAACTGGAACACAACATATTTGGCTGCAAAAGATTTGCTAGTTTCCAGTCATCCAATTGAAAGTCTAAGAAGGAAGCTGAATAATTTTGAACACTAATGGATGTAATCCAAGATATTTGTAGGCAAAAAAAGATTGTTATCTCTTAATAATGTGTTGCTGTCATTGTGTCCAATCTAGTTGAAAACAGGGCCTTGCATATTTAGTTGTCTTGTAAGTTATATCTTAACTGAAGACTGGAAAGGTTTAGTTAACTGAAGGATTCCATCTCATATTTGTGTTCTTAAAAAATATAATGGAAAGTGGGAAACTCTTGCTAATATACTTCTGAATCTCTCCCATACCTCTCCTAAATTGTCCAGTGTGAGAAACTAACTCGCTACGCATTATGATACCCCTTTTCACGAGGAAGCAAATTACCACTGATTACATTTTGAAAAATACAGAATATGTACAGTTTAGGTGCCCTGTGCAAGAAGAGCTGTTGCGCTTTGAAGGGTATTTTGTGTGGGAAATCTTCGTTTTCTGTTGTCAAGGAAGATGAAAACTTACTACTGAATTATTTTTCACTTGTCAGCCAAAATGAGGGTGGAACTGACATACCAGCATAAACACTTTTTAAAAGTAGATTTATTCATTATAGCATTGAAAGTATTCATGTTCATGATTTAATAAAAACCACTTGTATGTGCAGAAACTCTTAAAAACAACTTGGATAAATGCTAGAGGACATTAAGCGGAATTCATATATACATGATTAACTTGCAGAATAATGCAAACTTCTACAGTATGTACCTAGAACCTGTTCTCCCCAAACCTCTGACCACAGGTGAGAGAGGTTTTGTATTATACAAATTAGAGTGTTTTGTATTTAGGAAGGCGCAAAGGAGTTTGCAGCTGCCCTGACTGCTGAGCGTATAAAGACACCACCAAAGCGCCCAGGTGGCCGCCGAAGAGGAAGACTTCCAAATAACACCAGCAGACCCAGCACACCGACAATAAACGTATTAGAATCAAAAGACACAGATAGTGACAGAGAAGCTGGAACTGAAACTGGAGGAGAAAATAATGATAAAGAAGAAGAAGAAAAGAAGGATGAAACATCCAGTTCTTCTGGTATGGCTAAGTCAATGCTTCCTTACTCAATTAGTTGCAGTGCTTGAAAGGAGGAATTAAAGTTGAGCCACACCATCTTAGAAACGCTATTTTTGAAACGTATGGAACTCGATGAAAAGACAGAATATTTAGGTTAATCAAAAAGAACCCTATACCAAAAGTTCGATATGGTCTCTTGATTATGCGCAGAGGTGCGATTGTGTCATTTTAATACCTGCAAGACTACGCGCAAGTTACTACATTTGTTGTGCCACTTTATAAAATACGCATTTTATTTTATTTTATTACATTTGGAGAGGTTAGTAACTTGACAGTTTCCAGAGATGTGGAGAGTTTGTGGAACAAAGCCTTACGTTGACCCATAGTCTCAATAATTGTTTATTACAGAAGCAAATTCTAGGTGTCAGACACCAATAAAGATGAAGCCAAATATTGAGCCTCCAGAGAATGTGGAATGGAGTGGTGCTGAAGCCTCAATGTTTAGAGTTCTTATTGGCACCTACTATGACAACTTTTGTGCAATTGCCAGACTCATTGGGACCAAAACATGCAGGCAGGTAAGAAGTGAAATTACTTACTAAGGATGATAGCATTTTATTTTCAAAACTGGAGGGAAGAGTATAAATACTAATATTAAATACTAAGACAGAAAATTTATTAATTGTCTTGGTTTTCCCAAGAATGCTGTGATCCAGAATTTACTCCACAAATGTATAAGAGTTAGTTTTAAATCTATTTTTAAATTAAATTTACATAAGGTTTAAATTAGACTATCTGTTCTTAAATGACGAAAAAAATCTACTTAAATATGTAGGAAAGAGACTATGACCAGATATAATCTGTAAGACGTTGGTTGGAGGAAATCGTACTAACTTAGAAAATGAGTAACTTTCTACCAGTGAGAGATTTATCGTGGATGTGTTATGGTATCTCTTGTTAGGTGTATGAGTTTAGAGTAAAGGAATCTAGTATTATTGCTCCCGTCCCTGCTGAAGATGTTGATACTCCTCCCAGAAAGAAGAAAAGGAAACACAGGTAAATCTGTTACTAAATAACCTTAGCATTAAACATAATACATTGGCAATACAGTGGACCAGTAGTAAATCATAACACAAAGTATTTTGAAGGAAAAGTCATAGAACTCTTCACCTTTTCCTTTCGAAAATAATTTGCAGCAATAAAACAATATGGTCTCATATGTAAAGTGTTTTGGTTTCGGGTCAAAACACTGCTACTTAGGCAAGTATAACACTTCTTCTCTCCCCTCCTCCTTCTTTTTAACCTGTAAAACAGCCAGATCCTTGTTAGCAGATTCTTATAGTTTGTTGCTGCAAATATTCAAACTAAAGTTAGATTAGGAATATTCTACACAATTGGTTATAATATTCAAGACATTGCAGTACGATTTAGTTTGCAGCAATAAGTATTAAATTTACAAGTATTGTAATTGGATTAAATAGGGGTTGTGTATGGTATTTCACAAATTAAAACATATTGTTTTTATGGTGGAAAGTATTCTGTTAAAAGACTCAGGTGATCAGAAAGCAAAAATGTTATAGTAAACTAAGACTGCCTCATTTTTTAAAAGAAAAGATTCCTTGCTATGTGGGCAAGGACCTCAGCTTCATTACCAACTAGAATTTCAACTGAAGAACCAGGTTAGCAGATTATTAAATTCCCAGCCCAAAAATCATGGGATGCTTTATCTTATTCCTTGTTTAAAGAGAAGTTGTAATTAAGATCAGAAAGCTTTTCCTGGAGCCAGAAAGCCCATCCAAAACTATTTCTGTTGAAATTTTAAGCTTAGTGGCGCCTTTCTGTGAATGTAATGATTTTTTTGTTGTTGTTGTTGTTGAGAATCCTGAGGTTTGACAAATGTGACAGCTCTGTACTATGATTATTTTTATTATCAGGGGTAAGAAAATAAGGGATAAATAACTGACTGAAAATTAGCAAGAAAATCACTTCTTTCTGGAAGCAATAAGTATACTTTTTTCCACAACACTTTCTATTTCTCCCCTGAAATTTCCGTATCTTCCCTCCTCTACAGCTTCTTTCTTCTAGTTCTTCTCCCAGTAATTCGTCTTGCTTCTCTAGGTTTAATTACTTCTAGGCTTAGTGAAATTCCTGATACTGGTTCCAAAAACTACTGTTCAAGTAAAATGATAATGTTTCTTCTTTGTAGCATAGAAGCAACCGATGGAAAAAGATTCAGTGAGCATTTGGAAGAGGTTCTGCTTGTTCTGGGCAAAACTATTGATTTAAAGGCTTTTAGCATAGCTTTCAAGTTTGAGCATTTTGTGTGCTTGGCTGTTTAAATCTGGAGTTATTAGCCACACTGCAAATTTGGAATTTGCACTTGAGAGTTAGCTTTCTTTCAGATTCAGGCAAATTACTATAAAAAATAATGCCACTGCATCTGTTTGAGAAGTGCAACTGAAAGGCTCAAACATATATTTTGAAGCTGAAATGGATTATATGATTACCAGGCTGATGGGTTTTGGAGGAGTGTGTGGTGTGTGGGTTTATTATTATTATTATTTTATTTCTTTGATAACATAAATGAAAGCGTATGTCAATATTTGGGGTTTTGAATTTTCTTTTGTTCTTATTAGCTACCAAGGTAACTTGGATGTCAGCAGCTTGGTTTTGAAATGCCTTGTAATACATGCATGCATGGTGATAAGCTGTCTCTGTTTTTCTCTGTGCAATAGTCTTTCAAAAAACAACCTTTTAGCCCTTTTATGTCATAGTGTAATCTGAGCACTCTGTAAAGACGTCATACAACTGGTGACTGGGAAAACTAGCTTTAAGTCTTCCTCTGTTTCTTATACTGAGTCCGGTCTGAGTTTACTCACTGCTAGAATAAATCCAGTCCCAGAGCCAGAAAGCCCTTGTCTCCTATTGGGACTTTTTCATTGCAGGGGAACTCGCTGGTCCACAGGTTTCCCTCACGCACATGTGGCAGCATTTAAGGAAAAGCAGCAGCAGAGAGCTCAAATAATGGGCTTTTCTAACTGATTTGGTAACACGACTTCGTGTTCAACATCTTTCTGAGCATCTGTGTAGTATTAAAGAATGATAGACATCATCTTGCCAGTGGGGCTGAATTGCTGCCCTCTCCTTTCTAGTGTTTCCCATACCATCTTGGGTTGCCAATATACGCATACCAAGCAACTAGCTGACAGGACTAGTAAAAGTTCTTGCTAGTAAAAGATGTTCTCTCCTTCCCTACCTTTTTTTTTTTTTTTTGAGTTGTAATAAGAGTGATAAAAGGAGAGTAGAATGCCTTTTCTATTGCTGTTTTCTGGAGATCCAGTATCTTTCAGAGCCAGTCTTATGATATATCAGCATCTAACCGGGCAGGCTGTAAAAACCGTTTTGCTGGAGGAAGAAAGTGTTTTGTATGGGAAGCAGCAAATAGAAGAAGCTGAATAAAGAAAGAACTCTTTCAATTCAAAAAAGCATGTATGTATGCTGGAAGGAAAATACTTAAGTACTTGTTAATGGTTTTATTTATTTTCTTCCATTGCTAGGAGCTGAATCTTATTTGTTCTCAGTAGTCAGTACACCTTCCTCTGGATTGATAAGGATTGTTATCACTAGTAGTCCTGTGCAATGCTGAAAAAAGATTCCCCCCCCCCCGCTTTGATTTTCTTTGTCCCCTCCCCCCCCCATTCAGATGTGAGTTTTCATAGTAAAGACTTTATTGTTAAAAGTATTTTCCTTTTCTCTATTTTCTCATTCTTCTGCTGTGTCTCTGCCCTCCCCTAGATTACTATTCACTGTATATATTTGATTAACTTGCATGATTTGGCCTAGTATTCCTAGTGCCTTTATAAATGGATTAAAGACTCACCATTGTCTGGCAAAGATGTTTTTGAGGCCTTGGCACAAATATTCTTGTATGCGACCTAGACGGAAGGTGAAGTCTTGGTGGGGTGTATGTTTTAGGAGACTTGAAAGAAGAGAAGTCTCTATTTGAGTGATGCCAGAAAATCAATCACCACCAAGGGTTAGCCACATATGTTGGAATAACTGTCGTGTATTTTGAATTTCCAGTGCTATCACAATATCCCTGTGCCTTTATAAGAAAAAAAAGTTAGTAATTTCTTCCAAAGAATGCATCTCAGCTGTCTGATTAGCTGATACCAGGACTTCCTAAAAACACTGGCAACACCTGATAGGTTGTTAGCAGCAAAGAACAATATTTTTGACAGCTTCTGTCATAATGCTTGTGGAAACTTTTTTTTAAGCTGGCTCTCATGCAGATGCCAGGAACCGGATGTAGAAATCCACCTGCTTGCTTGGAAATCTGCCACTGAATTTCCAATTTGCTTTTTCTGAAGCCTAGACTCACAAATGCTTTCTCAACTTTCTGGCATAGCCTTTTGTCTCCTCTTTGGAAACATCTGAAATTTCTCTGTATTATCAGACTGCCTTCAGATTAGGAGATTTCTGCATCAGAGCAAGCAGTAAGTAGTTGGATTACTTGCTTCCTGTTTTTGGGGCCTTGTGTTTCTGGTTGAGATAGGAGACTTCAGGGCAGGTAGCATAGCAAAATCACTTTTTCCACATTTGGTGTCGTACTTGCTCAGGCCTCAGCCCTGTGTAATAATGAAGAGAAACTGCAGAGCTTTCTGGCAGGTTTTGAACGTTACAAAACTGTTAATGTAGTGTTTGATTGTGCTAATCAAACCTCCTCTTCTTGCTAATTGGTCAGCACTGGCAACTTGCTGCATGTTGTCTTCTGTCATTCTCCCCTTAATTCCTGGTCACACTGTGTGTCTCCTACTCCTTTCTTGCCAAGGTGTCTTCCTTGACCACCACCAGTCTCTGTTACAAGACTGGCTAAGCTGAGACTAGTAGTTGTGACTTCTGTATTTATTTTTCTGTAGGTTTGAGTTGTTTGTATGCTGAACTTCTTGTTGATGGGAGTAATTTTGTCATATTCAGGTCACCTTGTCAATACAATCTATAATTTTCTAAGGCAATTACCATAGAAACCTAAAAGTCCCAGCTGGCAACTAGTTGGCAACTAGCATTTTGTTTTGAAGTATTCGGACAGTGCTTAACTCAAAGCATGTTCATACTAATTGGCTCTCTGCTAATGAAATGGTGTATTAAGGAGTTCATCCACAGAAAGCTTTCAAGGGTTTGGTATGCTAGTAGGCTGTTATTATCTTGGGCTGAGACAAGCTTATATGAAAGAAGTGTTGTTGAAAAGTATTGCATATGTTACATTTGCCAAATACCAGACAAACAAAAGTAGTTTGACATGCATTAGAGTAATTTAAGTCAAAATTACACTCGTTCTTCCAATTATATGGGGGACAGCTGCTTACAGAGAGTCAATGTCTCATGTCATGCCACTCTTCGTAAGAATGTCATCTATTTAGTAGAGTGTTTTGTAGTTCTGATAAAGTCTTTGGGTTTGTACCCTTCCCCCCATCCTCACAGTTACCTGCACAAGTCTACCTCAGCGGTTTTCTCTCTTATGGGTTCCTTGAAAAAATTGAAAGGCAGTTAGCTGTAGAGTACTTAACATGAAGCGCAACTGTAAGGCTTTGAAATGGCAATTGCATAGAGAATCTGGTTTATGTTTGCCTAAAGCTGTTTTGTGTGTGTGTGTGGGGGGGGGAAATGACTTAGTTAAAATAGAAATTGATATAATGCATGTACAAAAGAAAGTAGTAGCTAAAAATTCCTGTTTGACTACATATAGAAGTTACTTTTTTGGAATGCAAACTTCTGAGCATTGTATTCATTGAAGAGCAGTGCAGTTTTCCAAGTACTCTGTGCTGAGGATTTTTAACTACATGTATTCACTAGTATTTTGGACCAGTTGTAGTAATAAATCTGCATAGAAAGAGGTTGGTAGGTGAAGTTAACAGCATGTTTAATAGTTATTTGGCCAGGGAATGGAGAGGGGAGTGCTCCCTTCCTCTTAATGGTGCTGTGTGACATCCTAACAAACCCTGGGAAGAATAAACTTTGAAAATCCTTACTCCAGATAATTTTAAAGAAGCTATTAG